AATATGAAGAAACGAATTAAAGAAGAAGAAAAGTAATCAAAAAAAAAAAAATCAAGAGAAGCTTAGAAGAATTTCTTCCTATCAAGATGAAGAAATGGAGGAGGAGATGGCAAAATTGATTTCAGTCAAAATTAACGTTAAGAAAATCACGCCTTAATTTTTGGTTGCAGTTCTGAAATAAATTTAACCTATCCCAAGGGAAATAATTATGCGCCAAATATTCTCCTTCCTTATGGTATCAATTTAAACATTGTTTTCAGAACGCATACCTGATGGGCAATTTACTACAAGTGAAAGAACAATTGGCGGTAAGAATATTATCATCAGCATTTTGGTTATCAGGAAATTCTTCCTGTATGAAAAAATTCCCGAGGTTACTGAATCTGTCTGTATGTCTTTCTGTTTGCTTCCGTCTATTCATATCTATTTTTCTTTTATTTAATCATGGATTTTTTTCTAACATTTTTCTTTTTTTTTTCTTATTTTTTCATATCTGTAAATCTTTCATCTTCTTAATTTCAAAATTCTTTATTGGTGTGTCATCTCTACAATTTTTTTATTTCTCAAATATAAATTTATTATATCAATATATATATTTTTATATTCAAATATTTTATTTTACAGATCTATCAACTATGTTTCTATCACTATTTCTCCATCTTTTTTTAAAAGTCTGTCTTATCTGATCTGTTTTTTCTCTCTATCATATATATATATATATATATATATATATAAAGTATATATATATATATACATATAAAACAAAGCATAATACTTTTTCTAAATAAATCACTTACAAAAAAAACTTTTTCAACGATTCCTCTCTTCTTTCTTTTTTAATTACATAAATTTCTCGTTGGAACCACTACAACAAAATTTTTTCCGAAATATATATATATATATATATATATATATATAAAAAATAACGATGAACATATTTATTCACGTTTCTATATATATATATATATATATATATATATATATATATATATATATGTTTTTTCTATTTTATATTTCTATAAATATTTTACACAAAAATTTTATACACAGGACTTTTACACAACATATGAAGATTTATATATATATATATATATTCGAATCTTATAATAAAACTTGTATTTTTAGGAAGATATATAAAAATACTAAAAAAACATTTTTTCAACAATACAAAAATGGAAATATTTTAGGAAGAATACAGGGTCATAAAAATATTTTAACGAATACCTCCTTTCTTCACATTTTATATCTTCTTTTCTTTGAACATTTTTATTACTCTTTAAGTTTCTTTTGTAAATTCATATTCAAACCAAATAAAAAAATGGAATACTATTATATTCAAAATTATACGATGGTTAAACATCCAAAAACGTAAGCAATTTATTATATTATTTTAATATATAAAAATAACCACTATTTCCTTTCTTATGAAGGTCGTTTTAATTTTTTCCCTTTTTAAAAAATATGTTAAAGGTTCTAATATAATATCCATAAAAATACACATTATAATTTTTAATAAATTTTTTTTTTTTTAATGTAAAAAAAAATACAAAAATTCTGTCGTTAAAATTTTTCTTATAACCTCTTTCCCTTTTATATATATATATATATATATATATATATATATTATTCTTTTGGTCCTCTTTAAACACAAGAGTTTTAAACAAAATGGCTATTTTTATAATGATTTTTAAATTAAAATATATATATATATATATATATAACTATATATATATATATATATGATTTAAAATTGATTCTATATTTCTAGATATATATTGTATTTGATTTCATTTTTCAGATATCTGTCTACATATATATATATATCATATTAAATTCATCTGTCATTTTTATTAATAAATTTATTTTTTTTTTTTTTCTTTTTTCTCTTTTTTATCTATCTATTTATTTATCTATCTATATATTCAATATTTGTCTCTAAATATATATAATTTTCCTTTAATCTATTTTTTATTAATTTTTTTCTTTTTTTTATGATCAAGATGGTTCTTCTCTTATGTATTTCTATTTATTAAATATAATGAATAAAAATTTATATCTATCGTTTTTCAATCATATCTATCTCATTTTGTCCGTATCTATCTATCTTCTCTATATATATATTTCATTATATATATATATAATATAATCTTTGTTCTATCTAATGAATTCTCTCCATAAATTATATCTATCTATCTATCTATCTATCTATCTATCTATCTCATCTATCTATCTATATATCTCTTTTTTTCCAATATATCTATTATTTATCTAATTTTCTTTATATATCTATCTATCTATTAATTTCTATGTGTTCAATATATACCATATCAAAATTTGTCTTTTATTAAATTTAATTTTGGCAAATCATTTATTTTGAAAAAAATTAATTTATTAGTTTTTAATTGAAATAAAAATTTAAAATAAAATTTGCCTTCTATTTTATCGTTTAGAAATTTCCTCAAATGAAAACATTCTTCTTCTTTGTTTAAATCTTTTATTAAATTCATAAATATTCCCCGAATTTTAAAAGTTCTCATTATGATATCTCTATTCAATCGATAACTAGTTTTTTTATTAAAATATAATGTTGAAAAAAAATAATTTTTAGATCAAAATTAACCTAATCTTCCAAAATTTTTGGCTTTTTTAAAATAACGGAAAACATTGGCTATAATTTAAAAAGGTATAAAGATATGATATTAAAATATATATTTTCATAAGAATTTTATTGATTGAATTTAACCGTTTTTTGTGTTTTTATAAATTTGAAAAATTTAAAATTTAATTTATCAAAATAAATGGCCATTTGGTTTTTTAACCTGGGGATATTTTCGCTTTATCCATTGTTTATAAGAAGTTACCTTTAATCATTTGTATTATTTTTGAATTTAACCCTTTCAATTTTCAATAGATCTTTTTTTAATATTTGTTTAAAAAAATCATTTTTTTCTTTTTTATTGGTAATATAACAATTTTAAATTTATTTGTGATGACCCGAACTGCAAATAACTAGTAAATATTAAAAAATACCACTTTATAAAAATTTATTTGCATTTCAAAAAAAATGTTTTTTTTTACAAATCATGTATTTTCATAAAATTCATTTTATCAGACCCTTATATAATTTGTTCATAATTATATATAGGATATATATAATACTATATATATATATATATATATATATATATATATAATATAATATATATATAGTGGTTCCAACGAGAGAAAAGTATGTATATTAAAAAGAAGAGAAGAGAGGTGCCGCAAACGTTTTTGGTTGTAATGTGGATTTATTTAGAAAAAATATTATGCTTTGTTTTACATAATTTTACGACACGTGTTTCTGGTCTCGAGACCGTCTTCAGGTAAAAGTGGAATTTCCACATATTATTAAAAATAATTAATTTTTCTTTTATGTTCAATGTTAAATATTCTCGATATGAGACATTCTCTGTTTGTGTGTTGGTAATCCATTTTCTTTCTTCAATATATATACATATATATATATATATATATATATATATATATATATATATATATATATATTTTTTGGATTTAATTCCAGTAAAATTTTATTTAAAAGATCAAAAAATGCTTCAGTTTTTGCATCCAAATAACAGCCACTCTTCAGGATTCTTTTAATGTAAAATTATTCAAAGTTATCCAAAAAAATTGGAGAGAGGAAAATATATTTTTTATCATTTCCCCAAGATTGGAAGGTATATACCCCCTCAATGATTGTAATAATGTTTTGATATAAAATGGATTTGTATTATAAATATACTCTATGTTAAATTAATTCATCAGTTCTCGGTTTTATGCGACTCAGTCCCGATCTGTCTTGTCTTGAAGTCAGAACGCTTGTTTATCTGAACTTGTGTCGACTCAATTCTTAGTTTGTGGACTTTTTATACATATTACTTTTGCTTTATATTTTTATTTGTTAATTTGCATTGCATATTTTTCTTTGTTGCTTTTTGTTCTTTTTTTTTTTCTTGTTATTAACATTGCAAATTTTTGTCAATTCTGTTTGTTAGTTTCAGATAATTTACATATTGTTATCTAATGTCTTCTTGATTACTCTTCTATTGTTCTCGCTCCTTAATAATGTTTCTCTTTTTTTCTTATTCTTTCAAACTCAGTAACTTTTCTGTCTTGGTGGCTTTACTGCCTTGATATTGGGGTGAAATGATTAGAAAACAAATTTAAATGCAATGTCAATTGTTATCTAATGTCTTCTGGATTACTCTTCTATTGTTCTCAATATATTTTAATCAATAATGTTTCTTTTTTTTCTTATTCTTTGACACTCAGTATCCCTTTGTGTCTTAGTGGCTTTATGCCTTGTATGAGGTCAAATGATTAAAAAACAAATTGAAATGCAATGTCAATTGTTATCTAATGTCTTCTTGATTAAAATCTATTGTTCTCGCTTCCCTTTAATGTTTCTCTTTTTTCTTATTCTTTCAAACTCAAAACCCTTTGTGTCTTGGTGGCTTTACTGCCTTGCAAAATTTGAAATTAGAAAACAAATTTAAATGCATTGTCAATCGTTATCTAACTTTTCTTGATTACTCTTCTATTGTTCTCGCTCATAATAATGTTTCTCTTTTTTTCTTATACTTTCAATAAAATAAATTTTGTTTTAATGGATTTTTTTGTTTTTGCATGGTGTGAATTGATTGAAAAAAAATACAAACGAAAAAAAAATATCTAATTTACATTTAAACCGCAATTATAAAAGCATAAAAATAATTTAACACATTGATAACGAAAAATAATCACCCAATTCTACTATTGAACTAATTATGGTTTTTGTAGGTGAAAAAAAAAAAAAAAATGCATGAAGTTTGCCGTTGATAAATTTCAAAAATTTTCATCAGATGACTGACAAATTATAGAATATAAAGATACCAGGAGTCGGAATCATTGCTAAAACCTAAGAATAATCTATAAAACTCTCCGACAAATTTTGGACCAGAAAAAAAACAGAATACAAGTTCTTAATTCCAAAGTTCATATATTTACAGTTAGGTCACCCTATTTTAGTTTTGAATGGTTCATTAAATTCACATATTAATTCCAATTGAACTAATGAAGGCCGGAATCCCAACGGCCGAAACATTGTGATAACAATTTCTATTCAAAATTTGAGGACAATAGACAGAATATAAATAAAATAAATAATGATAACTCCTAAACTCATAAATTCATTCTATTTTGGTTTTTCTCGGATCGATATATACAATATAAAATTCGGAGAGCACAACGGCCGAAACGTTGTGATAACAACAAGAAAGATGATATAATAGTCAGAATATAAATAAAATTAAATAATGATAACTCTAATCCATAAATTCATTCTATATTTAATTTTTCTCATTTCGATAAATAAATATTTTTTAAACAGAACCGAAAGAAACGTTTTTGATAACAACAACAAAGATGAGGACAATATTTCCGAATATAAAAAGTGTAAATAATGATAACGCCTCATTCCAATTTTCATTGGCTGAATGTTACCCAGATCGATATTAACCCGGGAAGGCCGGAGAACACAACGGGTCAGCACATTGTGAAGGTGGCAACAAAAAAGATGAGAAAAATAGTCCGACTGTCAACAGTATAAAATAATGATAACGCCTCCTCCCAAAAATTCATTCCCTGTAGTTGACCCAGATCGATATAGTTGTTAAATTCTTTTGAATCTCAAACTTTATTATCTAAATAACAGCAACAAAGCTGAGGACAATAGATCTAATATAAACAGTGTAAAATGATAAAACCTTATCCCAATGAAATTACTTCCCTGAGTTTACCCAGATCGATTGTAAACCTTTCAGAAGGCCGGCGAGGCACCACAGCCGAAAGGTTGTGATATTAACAACAAAGATGAAGACGATAGTCCTATATAAATTACATGTAAATAATTTAAATATAAATTTATAATAACTATTCATATACGATTTTATATATATATAAGGTACACCCCCAAAAAAAAAAATGGGAACTTTTTAAAAAATCCAATAAAACCAAGAGTGATGGAAGAAAAATATTTTATTCATAGTAATTGAAACCTTAAAACATGCCATTTAAGAAACAATGATGGAATTTACATTTTTAAAAAATTACGTCCTGTAGATGGCGTCCTCCTGTACGAATGCATTCTTGAAATCTGCTGTTGAGATTCCTCATTGACTGCTGCAACATCTCAGCTGGGATACTGTGAATTTCATCTTGAATTCTAAATGGCGAAATGTTTACTTGCTCAAGGTCACTGTCTCGCAGTGTTGCCACTTTCTTATGTCTGGCAATACGCACTTTAAAAATTCCCATTTTTTGGGGTCACCTATATTTTATTATCGCAGTGTGGGATATTTACTAACAAAGATGAGCTATATTGAGGGATAGTAAATTGTGGAAAAATTATCAATCTAATTGACGAGCACGTGTAAATATAATGCAGAAAATTCTGGGAGATAGGGGGCATAATTATTATGAACTCTAGAAAATCTGTCCTTTCCATAACAAAGAAAGTAGATAAAAAAAAATGCAGTTGACCAATTTGATATTGCAATTTCATCGTTAGACTCGTCCGAGTCTTCCGACCTTGTTGCTTTGTTCATTTTATATAACCTTAATTTTCACCATGATATCAACATAGAAGACATAGGTTCATATAGATATGACGGCCTTATATAAAATCTAAAGTTCTACAAAAACTAAAACTGAAAAAATCAGTTTAATTAATACATAGGAATTAAAAAGGTTTTTTATACTGAAATTTAAAAAAAATTGGTTTCTTCGATGTAACACTAGACTTAATTAATATTTATTATTTGTTATCAGCCCATTGATTTGAGCGTGCCAAATTATTAGAAAGGTTTAGTAAAATTCCCAGAATTGAGCAAACAAAACGTTTATTGATGTTGAACTTGAATGTTTATCATTAAAAAAGCTAGTAAATAAGATAATCAAACAAATAATAACAGATACAAACAAAGGCACAGTTTTAAGCAAATTAATAAGGGAATGTGCTTTCCCTGTTTTGAAATTACTTGAAAAAATCGACGATCCATAGAATTTGTTAATTGTAGGATGTCATCTGCTGTAATGCCGAGATATGTCAAAAATTGCTTCCCAAACTCAGCTTTGCTCCTGAATTGTCGTCCGTTGGCGTACAGTCTTCGCCTCATGATGCTCCAAAAGGTTTTCGATTGGGTTCAAATCCGGAGAATTTGCTGGCCACTTCATTTTCGAGGTCCATCGAAGCCTAACTGTTTCAAATATTCAGTAGTCTTGTGAGCAGCATGTGAGGGAGCATTATCTTGCATAAAAAAACAATGGCCCTTCTGAAGGCAACTCTTTGCCTTTTCATCCACAGTTCAAGATGCTCCTTCATAAACGCTATGTATGCATCAGCAGTCATTTTGATGCCATCTGGTACTCTCTATGGGCCCACTAATGTTTTTCAAATAATACCACCCCTGATCATTATGC